GCTCTTCCAAAACTGGCTCTGTGCTGCTTGTAGCATCCACATATGGCGAAGCGTGAAATACAGCTGGGACTAGGACTTGAAACAGCTGCCTCGGACAGGACGCTGCTGTCCCCAGGAAGAGAGGAGCGGGCGTCACCTCCAGAGCAGGGCTGGCGTACAAACAACAGGGAGAAGTTTGCCAAATCTCTTTGGCAAACTCAGGTGGCACCAGTCACAGGGATTTTAGAGGCCAAAACGTACCCGAGGCAATACAGCAGCACACAGGATTACGCCAGGGCTGGCCAGGCGCTTTCCTCACCCGCGTCCCAGCACACCAGCCAGCCAGAACTGGGACGCTCTCCCAACACCCCTTTCCACTGGTGTCCCACCAGAACCACTGCTGCCAACCTGGCACCCAGCCCACAGTTAGTTCTTGCACACACCTAACCCAGCCAAAACCCACCGAAAGCTCTGCAAGGCAAACTTCGAGTTCTTTCTACAGCTCGCTAACGCTTACCCGCACTCCTCCCGCAGACCACCGCTCTGCATGGGTGGCCGCGGCGAGGGAACGTTGCCAGAAGGCTCCAGTGCTGCGGGGCGGCATGAGCATCGGCCAAGTGAAATAATGGAAGCCCCAAAGCCGCTGGGTGCCTCGGAAGCCTGTTTCTGATTTGCAGGCAATTTGTTCCCTCGACAGGTTCATCTCATTACTGGGTTTCCATTTAGCAGGAGTTTTATCGCCTGTAACATTTGTGCGTAACAGATTCACCCAATTAAAATGTTATTTCCTTTAACAGCTCGGATAGTCACATTTCAGTGTTTGCTGGAGCGCGTTTTCCTTTCCTCCAGTGTCTAGTCCTTCATCAACCACTCGTTTCAAGGGTCGGGAACCAAGCACAGACAGCAGCCCCTGCCCTTCCCCATCATTGGGCATCCCTGCCCTCTCCCCGCCGCCCTCCCAGCCGGGGCTGCGGCCGGTCCAAGCTATGGGCTGGTCTGGCCAGGAGCATTGTCAGTCCCACAGGAGATCAGCCCCCAGCGCTGCCCTCATGGGGGGACCCACCAGAGATGCGCCCCGGTCCCACAGCAGGCGGCCCCTGCTACGACCTGCACACCTTCAATGCCTGGTACGGCAGCCTGTGCTTCAAGGGGCGGCACGGGCACTGGGACCCCCAGGTCTTGGCGGCTTCCCCCGCAGGTACCACCGCCCGCCCAACGACATCAGCTCCGGCTTCTACCCTGTGTTCGGCCCCTACAGCTCCCGCGACCCCACGATGCTAGACAAGCACATGGGCCAGCTCCGCGCCACCACCACTGTTATGCACCACCGGCCCCGACGGACCCCCAGCCCCACACGGGCGGCAAGAGCCCCCGTGCCAGCCTGCCAGCCCCATCCCCCAAGGGAGGCAGGCAGCCCCGAGCCCCCTGGACACCAACCCTGGGGGGCTGCGGCAGGCACGGGCACACACCAGCCCCCGAGCCCTGCACGGCATCACTGGGGCCACAACTCAAGCAGCTGCAGTTGCTCCCCTCCGCCACGCTGCGATGCCCCATCGCCGGGCAGCAGCGCCCCTCGGCGTCCCCTGCCGTGCCCCCGCACCCAGCCCCTCTCCCCGCTCTCCCCCACCACCCCGCAGAGCGCTGCCAGCACCCAAGGCCCCCGACAGCTACCTCGGAGGCAGCGGCTGGGAGCGCTGATTACAGGGTCTCATAACCACAGCTTAAACACCACAGGTCTTCTAAAGCGTTAGAAGGACCAGAAATGTTTACTGCAGCGCTGATGCACGGGAAGAGGAAAAGTTTAGGAACAAAACACACTTGACCACGACCTGCTGTGTTACATGCCGCCATAGGAGCGCTGGTCCTGTTCTGGTACCCACCCAGCCTAGCGGACGACAACAGGGAGCTGTCGGACGGCCTCGCGCACTCCATACTGGATGCTGCGCACAGATACGCCATACAGGGAGGGCTCTTGTCTGCTCTTGGAGGCCATTAAACTCACCGTTCAGCACAAAGCCGATGCTGGGCTTGGGCAGGGGCCCTGCTCCTCTGCTTCAGTGACTGCATTAAAAGAAACGAGTTAAAAGAAACGAGTATTCGTGTTTAAGACACTGGCAACAATTTTTCAATAGCTAAATACAGCGCTTTTCCTGTTCTTAGTAATTGGGATTTTCAGTTTACTTTTCACCAGCATTAGGGAACGCTAGTGAAAGCCCTGACTTCACCGAGTAGACTGCTGTATTCCGCATGTGTCGTGCAGGGGTCCTCCCAGTCTGCCCACGGCGGGTGACAGAAGGTCCTTTACAGCAGACCTAGGGTCTCGTGGGAGGTCAGGGTGCAGAGGAAGCAATGCCAGTGCGATGAAAATAATCACCTCCGTAGTCTCTTTTGAAGGCTGCCTTCCATATCCAGCCATACAAAGGGCGCGGTGACCACGCTGTGCATCAGAATATCAAATACATCACGGACAAGTAAGTTTTTCATGTAGGCTAAACCCAGCTGCGCAGCGTTGCTTTAAACCCAAACAGCGTGCAGAACTTTGAATTAAATGCATCAGAATAGTATCCAAAAACCAGCGCGCAGGGGAGGGAGCTGCCTAGAGCGAGCCAGGAGGGCGATACCGGGCAGGGATCATAAATCCCACTTTCCATGGCACTTGAATACCTTGCCTTCAGAACCCAAAATTGCTTTCTGCATGTTTCTAAGCTTATCACCCGTAAGCTGGCACCTCTACCCTTTCTTTTAAAAAGGAAAGGAGCAGGCACAGACGCTCCCGTGAAGACGGAGACAAAGGCTCTGGGAAAGGAGGCCCCTACAGCAAAGCAAGTCTCCCACCATGCTTGCCTTATAATGGAAACGCCTGCTGGGGGCTCATCACCCCAGCCTCTGAAAAAGCTTTGTGCTCTCCTCTAGATACAGATCACATGCAGCTTTTCATAAGTACAAGACCAGCACCAGCAAGAGCGTCCCGCTGTTTTCTATCTACCATTCCTACTTGACGCTGGCTGAATCCTGGGCCAACCTTCTCACGCCGTCAGGCTCCCCCTCTCGCTCTGTCCCCAACACCGCTTACAACGCTGTGTTCTGGTGGAGGAGGGACAGAAGCACGATACCCTCTCCGCAGGGTACGATGGCATGTACACATACTTTGCATCCAACGGCTTCTCTTTTGGCTCATCCCACCAGAACTGGAAAGCAATCAAAGCCTTCTGCAACTCCAACAACCCGATGTTCATGCCCAGCGTTGGCCCAGGCTACATCGACACCAGCGTTCGCCCCTGGAAGAACCGCAACACTCGGAACAGAGTCAACGGGAAGTACAATGAAACAGCTCTGCAGGCTGCTCTCGTGGCCAGGCCAGAGATCGTCTCCATCACATCCTTCAACGAATGGCACAAAGGCACCCAGATCGAGAAGGCCGTACCCAAGAAGACGCCGACACGCCTTTATCTCAACTGCCTTCCTCATCGGCCGAGCACGAACCTGGAGCCGACTCGCAGGTGGGCAGAGCATTTCAGCAAAGAGAAAGAGCAGTGGTTGATGTGACCAGGATTTGCCTTACTCGGAAAAACGTGCCGCTGACAAAGCTGCAGCACAGCGAAGCGCTTCAGGAAAAAAAAAAAAAGCACTCGAGGGGACGCAGCCACAGAGCGTTTGGCCTAACCAGGCCGCTGAACGCGAGCAGCCATCTGCAAATATCTCAAGGACTGCGTAAGCCCCAGCTAGGGACTCACAGGCCAAGTGTTACAGGGAGCAGGAAATCTGCAAGCAGCAGCCAAATTAACTTTCTGCAGATTTAGTACAGATGCCCCTTTCAGAGCTGCTCTGGAATTCACAAGGGGTGCTGGCTGGGGGGCCAAAGATCTGGTTTTTCCTTCTGTGCGCATGCTCCGTGATGTTTGACATGGTTAGCTGGTTCCAGCACGCGTTTCACCGTACGCCCTTGGCCCGCTGCCTGCCGCGATCACGTATCCCTCACTCCGCTAGCAACTCTGTCAGCTTACTGCAAAGAGGAGTAAATAGTCCTCCAAATTGTCTCCTGTAGGTGACACTAAGCCATGCCGTTACAAACCCTCTACTTGATCCAATCTCTCCTGCACCAAGGAGTTCTGCAGTGGGCATTGTCACTGTGCTCCACTGTACCCAAATAACTAAAGATAAATAACTAAAGATAATTAGAGCAGGAACACGAGAGACTATTTACTACACCTGTATGCGCTGGAAACCAAGGAAATGCAATGATCTACACTAAAAGCTCTTAACTGATTGTTTAGTGTTCCACGGTTTGAAAATTTGCATCTGAAGTTGCTTTATCCCCTTTAGAACCAAGGAGAAAAAATATCAGCAATAAAAATGCAACTGAAAACACCATTAATTTGTGCTTTGAAAGAGGTTCAGCTCTCATTAGCTTTCCCTTTTTTGTGATTTTAGCCATGCCTGGACTCTTCAGCCATAAAATTAATTTATACTTGTCTATACCAATAAATGAGAAGGGGCAGCTCTGGATGTGAAACAGGGTTCTATTCATGATGACTCCACACATGTTCTCGCTAAGCACCTAAGTCCATCAAAAGCGATGGACGACAATGTCTAAAAATAAGCATTTATAACAAAATCATGCAAGTTGCTTACCAGTTTTGAAATTAACAGCAGCTCCGTAAACTTTACTTTTTAATGAAGAATAAATACCAGAGGCAACTTTCATCCATTCCCTATTTACTTCAGCTTAGTACCGTTTTCAGAATGAAATCAAGAAAGGGAAATCCACATTTAAAAAATAAAGATCAGCACGCTAAGAACTTGTTTTCATTCTTTGTATTAGGAGGAAGTCAGGTCTTTCTGAGCAGCTCTCATCTCGACAGGGACCATTTGAATAGTGTTAATTTTCAAAAGCACTGTTTTATCTCAGTAGCAGGTTTTGATTACACTTAGAACAGAGAAAAACAGCCAGAGGACACCGTAGCTATATCATGAAAGCTCAAAAAACCTCTTTTCCATCTTTGCTTTTCTTTCAGTGCAGATACAATAAACAAACACATGGAATAAGCGTTAAGGGGAGGGTGGATCGGACACTGTCTTCATCACCCCATCCCGAGAACAGTCTAACATTCAAATTATTGCATTTCAAAGGCCTAATCATGTTAATAAAACAGACAGGTATTTGGGAATGGTACAGCAGCACAAAGAGGTCAGCCTACATATTTGGGTTGGCTTCTCAGAGTATAGCAGATGCGATACTAATTAACAGACACCCATCAACTGTTGTCCTCGTTTTTTATCTTTTTTTTTTTTTTTTAAATCTTTTGTTTATTAACCTTGACATAACTCATCGACCTTATTAAACAAGGCCACGAATGCCCATTTCCTGAATGCGCAGGCACACGGTGCCCAGCTTTACCAGCTCTGCCGAGCCTCCTCGGAGTCTGAAGTCTTAGGATGATTCCGGTACCAAGCCATACTTCTGCCTCAGGATTTCAACTGTAGATGTCAGTGCACTGTGGGGTGAAACAGAACACTCAGAAAAAAGGGGTTTTAAGGATTAAACTGCATTTTCTGGGAAAG